GGTTTTTCGCGAATATCTCAAAAACGGCGGCGCGCAGCGCCGCCGTTTTTGGTACACGTGTTCCTACATCATTTCCGCACATGTTGTGAAAATTTCAGACCTAGGCCGTTCAAGGTCAGGTCACCAGGTCACGTCAAGTGACCTTACCTCAGAAAAAGTTCAAAGGCTCGCTATAGCTACACCGACTGAACGATCACTTTGAAACTTTCAGCGATTGATATGAGTAACAGTATGTATAAAATGTATATCTCGGATTTTTGATATCTGTGACCTAAGGTCAGGTCAATTTTGCGACCTCTCCATTATAAGTCAATGGGAGAAAATTGAAATGCGCCTCTTTTGGACGAATATCGTTCAAAACGCTCTCAAACATCGGTTCATAGGTAAACATGACACACTGAATAGGAAAAATGCACCAGTGACCCCTCTGTGTGCCCCTGAGGTCATCTCAGGTCATGATTGGTCGCCAGCAGTTTTTTGGCTATAACTTTTGATAGAGACGTGCTAGAGCGGTGAAAACACGTCAGATGTGTTCAGCTCGACGATACGGATCGACTGATATGCAACATGACCCTTTTCGGTCAGGTCATGACCTTGACCTGAGGTCAAATTTTCAAAATGACCTTTCAAGGTCAACGAATAGTTCATTCGACGCGTCTCGACGAGAGGAACACGATGCTGGCAAAAGTAATGTCATGGCGCTTATGAGTCAAAAGTTATTGACGAAAAAACGTTTTTCGTAAAAACGGCTATTTTTGGAGTTTTTGCCCTCTGGAGGCTAAACCGTTGACCTGAGGTCAAATCTGAGAACATTACTCAGAAAGGTCTATAAAAGGGCTATCGAATGCGCTTTTCCGCGGCGCTGTAGCTCTATCGGTTCCCGAGATAGCCGTTGGCAGTTTCCAAAATGTTGAAATAGTCAACATTTTACCTTTGGTGACCTCTGGTGACCTGACCTTTGACCTGACCCAAAAAATGACCGAAGTGTTTTCGTCCTTATTTTTGACGCTCTTTCGATTGCCGCTTACCGCGTGTCGCTACGTGGCCCAGGAGCCGAGTTAGACGGGGGGGGGGGCGTGAAAACGCCCCCCCCCAGCACTCGGCGGAAAGTTCAGGCCACCAGCACGGCGCGGGTTAAGGTCCTAGGTCATCGGTTGACCTTCCAGGTCAGGTCAATGACCCAAAAGTCGGGAAAATCGGGACCTGTTAGAAAGTCGTAAAGCGTGGCTGCTATGGGTTTTTTCGGGGTGCTGATCACGAATATCATGTTAGTTTTGATCACAGATGATGTCTTCATGCATTTAGGTCAGGTCAGGTCAGGTCAGGTCAGGTCAACCAGTAAGGGTATTCGTAGTAGGTGGCAACCGCCTCTGACAGCTTGGTAACATGTTACGAAGGTGCCAAATCTACTTCGTAAATGTTCATATGGCTGCTAAATTCGAATTCACCTCCAAAAACTGGCCTAGAAACATGTAAAACTCGAAAAAGTAAACCGAGGTCATCAGAGGTCAATGACCTGACCTGACCTTCCGGTGACCTTGACACCCACCCTAATGCATGGGAGCAACATCGTATCCCATGTTTGAACGCTTAAAACCACGAAAAGACTGCAAGCGCGCGGCAAATGCGAGCCGACATACGCCGAATCGCGATTACGGCCAAACATGGTCTCAAAAAGAGGGTCACAGGTCAAAGGTCATTAGAGTCAGGGTCATGAAAACTACAGGGTAGGTGTAAAATTGATTAACGCCAGGGTACTGAAAGTTTCGTCGCAATCGGCCGCTTTTTACGCGAGTTATTCGCGAAAAACCAAGGGGGGTCCGTTCGACCCCCCCCCCTATACGGGCAGGTTAGATAAACACTGGCCAAATTCCACCACCCCATCGCCCAAATAACCCTGCTAGCGGGGCAATTTTACCGCTTTGCAGACCTCTGTAAAACGTCAAAATTCAGGAATAAGTAGTTGCTTTATCATTTTCAGTTTATTGTACAAGAAAGTAAAACGAATGCTATACCTGCCAGCGTTGAGAGAGCGCATAAAAAATGTCACCAATGTCGAGTTATAGCGTTTCCAAAAAAAGCGGACAAATTACCTAAATTACCTCATAGTTTTAGTTCCTTTGTTAGATGTTACGACACCGTTAGTGGTGATTAACACCTACTATGGATAGCTCGGATACCACTAAACCTTCGCCACCTCCCAGCTGCCCCCTTCTCAAGACAGTTGAAATGTCACCTTAGGAGAAAGGCTGTGGCGAACCGAGCTCTTTTGCGGAGATAAGTCCAGAGGCTGATGAGTGAGTGCATTTTAGTGTGTGAGACGTGTGCTTATGGCTTGCCCTCCTGTTTTTATTTCTTATTTAATCCGCGCCCCAGTGGCGGTCTCAGCCAACTTCGCCCTATTGGAGGGGGGGGGGGGGGCATATGTTACCAGCCACCTCTAACTAAAAAACTAAGAGGGCTAGAAAGACGTGGTAAAAGCTTAAAAAGCAGTCGATAACTCTCAATGCGTACGTTTGAAAGTTTTTAGTCATTTTCCATCTTTCATTTTTCATTTTTCATTTTATCATTGGGGTCACTGGAGGTCATCAAAGGCCAAAATTTGTCAAATGTCATATTTTTCAGAAAACATGCATTTATCTCAGGAACTATAGGACAGATAGAAAAACGCACGGAAGAGCAATCGATAGCTTTTGATCTCTTTTTTTGATATGGTCATCATCAAAATTGACCTCAGGTCGACGGTGAAGCCTCCATAGGTCAAATATTGTGAACATAGCTGTTATTGGATAAATCTTTTATAACGAATAACTTTCAAACCTGCAGCAAATATGAAGAATTGCCAATGGGACTATCGTGTTTCTCTCCTTCAGCCACTTCGACAAGTGTATTTTTTACCTGGAAAGGTCAAGGTCAAATTTTGACCCCAGATCAAGGTCGCGTGGTGACCCAAATAGGTCATGTTGCAGATCATTCGATGTGTCTCGACAAGACAAACACAATGAAGCCATCCCCAACGTTCTATATCTCTTTCCAATTGGGAGTTATTGGCAAATGTAAAATGACGATAACAACTCAAGTTTATTGTACAAGACAAAGCTTTCGATACATAAAAAAATATTCTACACGTCATTGACAGTGATCAAGATACTTTATGTATCGAAAGCTTTGTCTTGTACAATAAACTTGAGTTATTATCGTCATTTTACATCTGTCATGGGGCCGTTACAATTACAGTTATTGGCAAACAGCTGTCTGTAGCCTCAAATGACCTCGGATGACCTTTTTAGAGGTTATCAGCAAAAACGACACCTTGGTTGTAACGGGTGGTCCAAATCATTGTGATTCTGTAATATTTGGACTGTCTATGCGTACACACGGATCTAGAGGCATTTTTATTTCTATCCATCGGGTTATAATGGAAAGGTCACCCCACTGTCCTGACCTTAGGTTACGGATAAAAAAATCCGAGATATACAAATTATAGGTGCCCATAACATCATGCAATTCACCAAGTTTAAAACCTCTCTTACAAACACTCTAGGCTGGACATGATTACAGACTTGTTTTATGCTTGGTCAGTTAACTTGACCTGGTGACCTGACCTGACATGACCTGCAGTCAAAAATTTCATACATTGTCCAAAATTGATGTACAGAAAGATACTCCAGGCGGCGCTTCGCTATGCGCCGCGGTATTTATCCACACGCAAAAAAAAAAAAAACGCGACAGGGTGGTAACATTTGCCCCCCCCCCCCCTCCCTCTACTGGGGCGAAGGTTAATCTGTTGACGATGGGTAGGAATAGCCTGAAGCTTATACGGTATTGCTCAAATACACGTGAATGAATGAATGAATGAATGAGCTCGCAGGATACATGCTGTTTGAACTGACCTGACCTGACCCGACTTGGCCTATAAATGCATGAAGACATCATCTGTGATCAAAACTAACATGAAAGTCGTGATCAGCACCCCAAGAAAAAAAAAACAAAAGCTTCACTAAAGCTAAAGTTAAAAAGCTAAAGTTATGACAGGTCCCGTTTTTCCCGACTTCTAGGTCATTGACCTGACATGGAAGGTCAACCGATGACCTAGGACCTTTAAGATGGGTATCATCGACTTCCTTTCGTTACGGGCAATGCACGCTCGCTTTTTCTGTGAAGCTCTAGCTCGATCAGAAACCGAATGGCAGAGGTGTCTAGCCACCCTTACACATTAAAGGGACTCTCCCACCTTAACATTAGATTTGAGTTGAGATAGCCAAAATGGGGTCCCTAGCTCACAATTACCGGTTTCGGCACTCACAACATCGAGAAATGCCTTAAATCAGAAATATTGAATTTCAAAATTGCAGCATTTTGATTCAGAGGGGCTAATGCTTAGGAATACCCCTCTGAATGTGTGACGTTAGCGCAGATATCTAACGATTTTTAAATGTTTGACTAAAACGTTTTGTAGCACGCGGTGGTATATGCTATTTGCGCGCAACATCTGCCGCAAACGCCGCACTTCTAAAATAAAGTCGCTAGAAACAGCGGAGATCCCAAAAAAGTAAACAAAAGTAAAAGTCTAATATCTTGAAAACTGGTGAATATTTTTCGGTGAAATTTGGTAGATATTCGTTTTCGCTCTTCCTGAACCGAGCGACATCACTTTCATGCCAATTCATAAACTTTTTTGAAGGTGGGAGAGTCCCTTTAAGCGCTGGGAAACGCCGCTCACAGGAGAGGGTTAGATATCGTTCAAGTGTTTTTATGTGAGATTGAGGCCCTCTCCAGGATTCGAAAGAATTCCCATCTTCTTGAAAAGTGAGTCCATGGCCCTTTCCCCTTAGCACCGGATTGTTCTACCTCCTTAGTGCAGCAGCGCTGGCTTATTTGGAAGGGGTTTCTTCGGGCTGGGCCCAAATTACTACAAAAATAAATATTGCACACCTTGCACAATTTGGGACCCGCAGGCGCTGACTGCACGGTTGAATGAGTAGACGCACACAAATATAGCACTGGCTCGTTGTTCGGTGTATTCAGTACACACTGTTGTCAGGTACACACGGCTACAAGCGGACAAGTTTAAATAACCAGAAAGACTGTGCTGGCGGCATTTCCTTACACGTTGACGCCGCCCCATACTGGCAGGTCACATCATTCAGGCTCCTGATTGACATCTCCAGTAGGTGCTGACATCTAGTGGCCGTATCCGTAACCATACGACGGAGCCGAATAGCCGTAGCTGCGAGAGTACGAGTACGAGGGAGCGCTGTAGCCGTAGCCAGAGTGGCCGTAGCCAGAGCCGTGGCCAGAGTAGCCGTGGCCGTAGGAGGGACGGCTGTAGCCAGAGTAGCCGTAGCCGTGGCCGCGGTCGGAGCCGTAGCCATGGCCGTAGCCGTAGTCGCGGCCGTAGCCATATCCATGGCCGTAATCGGAGCCGTGGCCGGAGTAGCCGTAGCTGGGACGCTCGTAGCCGTAGCTCTTGGTGTGGCCGTAGCCGTACGAGGGGCGGGCGTAGCCGTAGCCAGAGCTGCCGTAGCCGGAGTGGCCGTAGGTAGAATGACCGTAGCCGTAGCTGGGCTTGAATCCGTAGCTGTAAACAAAATGAAAATGGTCAATGCGGTGAGAAACGTAGAAACTTATTCAAGGGAGTTTTACGTAACACTTATCGGAATTTTACGGGAGTTTTGAACGTAGAATGAAGTTTAAAATAAAATAGCTTCTTTTCGATTTTGAAATCCGAAAATTGAATTGAATTTCGAATTGCCTTCCACTTCTATTGAAATCAATGTAATTTTTGACTGCTTCCGTAATTAGAAATAATATTCTCTTTGAGTCATATTTCCTCCCCGTCTAAACCTCAGCAAACGGGTGGTGACAGAAGGGCGTGTAAAACGGCAAATAAAAGCTCTAGAAAAAGAAGATTTTTCAGACGTAGGTACCTATCGTCGTGTCCGTATCCGTAGCTGGGCTTGCTGTAGGTCCTGGTGTACGAGTGGGTATGGCTGTAACTGGGGGCAGCATAACCGCCGTAGCCATAGCTGGGGAAAAAAGAGAAGAAAATTAAAGCAAAGTACCAAACCGATAAGTGGCTATTTTAAAAGTAAAATTGGGCATTTATTGGACAAAATTGGGCATTGGGCATTTAGGTTTTCTGACAAAAAAAAAAACAGGAAACACATTAGCTTCGACAACACAGGCGAGCATTACGCATGATAAATGACTACTAATCAATGTAACTCATCTCCGCCATACAAAAGCCAAACAAGTGAACATTGATTTAAATATTACCACAACGTTTAAAGTCACATTACTAGCATTATTGTAGTAAATCCATCACCAGCGCTGATGTTCCAGCCATCAAAATGACACTGAATGGATAATAATTTAAATTACACACACTCTTCCCTCGGCCAATAACTTGGCATCCTGCTCAGGGTCAAGGCTCTGCTACCGTGAAATCACTCGGTGATGACATCATACCGATGATGTCACAATTATGACGTCATATGGTGGATTCTCACACGCCGTCGTGCGCGTAACTCCACCGATTGTAGACAGATGTTCAATCATTAATTGCAGGTGACGGCCGGCTTGGTGGGAACTGAGACAGAGGGAGAGAGAGAGAGAGAGAGAGAGAGAGAGAGAGAGAGAGAGAGAGAGAGAGAGAGAGAGAGAGAGAGAGAGGAGAGAGAGGGAGGAAAGAGGACGTCCAAGTTTAGAGACGGGCAGAAGACGGTGGACGGTGGACACTGGATGGTAGACGGTGGACGGTGGACAGTGGACGGTGGTCGGTGGACACTGGATGGTGAACGGTGGACGGCACACAGTGGACAGTGGACGGCCGACAGTCGCCATACGACAGACGGTGGGCGGCAGATGGCCGTCGCTGCTCGCCAAAGCAACACCTTTCGTCTCTGAGCTCCAGTGTGATGGCTATGCCACTGGGAGGACATTGGTTCCGCTCTATCGACTCTGGAAGTGTGGGGACACCGCTCGGGGAGCCACAGTGCTGACCACACCGTGCGAGCCGCCGGAGCGACGGCGACGGCGCCTCGCTCTAGGGACGGTAATTAGAGACCTCGACGTCGGACTGTGACAGTAACGCACTAGCCAGGATCGTCACTGAATTCTGTTGAATATTACAAGAAGATGCAGAAACTTGAGCAGTTTATACAACTATGAAAAAATTAGGCACAATGCTACTTGCAATTAAAATATTTATTTTAGATAGTAATCCACTCGCTTAACACCTTAGCCCTTATGAGCTACTTTTTTTTTTACTCAGAATGACCTGAAGTGTTGACTTTGGGTAAATCTATGGAAACAAAAGCGCCCCATCTTACCCGCTTCCGTAAGCAGCGACCGGGTGGGATTCCTCGGTCTTGAGGTCCTCCTTCTTTTCAGCGGCCGAGGCCACCGCCGCCAGCACAACGACAGCCAAAAACTGCAGAGGATAGTGCAATGTTAAGTGTTAATTTGTATCCGCGTTGATAACGACAGGTAACAAATCACTGACAACCTCGACTGCAATGAAATCTTGCGGTGCAAACCTCTGTAAAAGCTGCTTATCCAAAGAGGAGCTCAGATAAAAACGCAGACTTTACGAATTAGGGAAAACGAACGAAAGTCTTATTTGTTGTCAAAGTAGACGAATCCTTACAAGTTAAAAGGTACTGTTTGTGGATGTTTTGCAAGTTATGAACTCGGAATCTCATTAAATTTGTTATTGAATCTGCAACATGAAAGCGAAAGTTTTCATACATTATCAAGGAGATCAACACGATCAACTTGCAGCTGATTATAATTAAGACTGTTGTAATTAAGCATCTGATAAAGATGCAATATAATTTATTGAAGATAAAGAAAAGACAGTTTAAAAAAGTGCAATGATTCGCCAAAAGTGTGCAGCTTAGGTGAAAACCTGCGAACGAACTGAACGCAGCCAGACTTTAAAGAGAACAAAGATAAAAAATAAAGCAAAAACAGCAAAACCCTTCACTAATTTTCACATGGCATTTGCTGATCAAACGAAAACCATTCACGAAATGACTCGCTGGAGCCTAGTCAGGAGCGGCAGACTCAACACCACACCACTGATCACGAAACTCTCCGCACCACTGTCACCACGCACACCACTGTCCCGCTGCACCATTCACCGGTGGCGCCAGTGCCGAGCCCTGCGGTATACCTTGTTCATGACTGCGGCTCGGAGAAGACGAGTCTGTGTCGTACCGCTGCACCCACACGGCTTTTATAGCACGCCCCGGGACCTCGGCGGGAGCCACGCCTTTCACCGGCTCCGCTGAGTGCCCCTCTCGGGGTAACCCTGCCCTCGGGGAGGGGGTAGGAGGTGGCCTCCGGGGCACGGTCCCGGCGCACGCACCAGAGGAGATAACCTCTGTGTGGCGAGATCAGACAGGCCCGACCATTCACAATCATCTAAAATGAAACGGAATCGAACCATGTAAAACATGAAATCAACTGTGTTTTAAATATTTGAGAACTTTGGTCACTCGCAGCTATAAGGAAAGTCAATGAAAAGAAATATCACCATGATATTTGGATGAAATAATGTCCGAATAGTTATATGGTCAGGCACGTTCTTTAGGTTTATGGTTCAGCTACCTATATAACTACATCAATACATTTGCAACGTTGGAGCTGTATAAGATGAAAACGAGAAAAAAATCACATCATAGCATGCATTAAAAATGAAAAACTTAAGGCTTGTTAAAAATGGATAAGATAGATGGAAAAATGAAAGTGCTTAAGTAATCGCAAAAGGTGATTAATGCAATGCCCTGGGCTCAAACGTGTTATAATCTTGCGAATGATTTTCACTTTTTATGAGCATCTGTCCGCATCATTTTATTAGAATACAAACCAATTTGATTTGATTTGTCTATGGCTCCAAAAGTTCGATGACTTGATAAGATAGTAATTGTAAAAAGCGGTGGATCTAAAACTTATTGAATCGAAATGGCGATCACTTTAGCCGGTCACATTGAGATTGGTTCTCTTCACTGTGAAGTCGACCGTCTAAAAACGCATAATTTATCGTTTCATCTATTGCATGAAAAATGTGTGGCAGGCAGTATCTACATACAAGATAAATCCTCAAGTTTACCGCTATTTGGGACTCAGTCGTGCATTCTCACCTCTTCTCGAAAACTGCTCTTCATCACGCACGCACAGATCCCACTGAGAAACCAGCCCACACATGCAATTATGCAATGCCGAGGGATGAGCTTACAAGCTAAACTCAGCCAGCTCGGCATGATAATATTACCAACTCCTCCCGTCACTCACCATTACTCGCACATAAGTCACAGAAATAACTCACTAAAGGCGGTCTTCATATTGATAAATTTCCCCACAAGGACGTCTGACTGCCTTGCCGTGATAAACGGTTTGTAAATGCCTCATTGTCAGTCTGAGCTTCTGTCAAATATGGTCTCGGAAGGTCACAGAGGGTCTCAGAAGGTCCCAGACTTTCCCACGCAGTGCCACACCCAGCCAAATAAGTGTAAGGTCCCTAGTCCACGTGGCAAAGAAGGCGTGACATCTTCCCACCGTGGATAACATAATCACCGACAGTCTATGAGTAGCAGAGCACTGTGGTCGCAGCCAATGTCACCGGTTTGCACATTAACCTGCATTACTCGAGGCGACACGCATCTGACTGTCACGAGCTGTGAGACACGAGCTTTGTGTCACGAGCTTCATGTCGAGAGCTTCATGTCATGAATCACATTCTGTGAAAACACGCTAATGGCAAGTTGCAACGATTGAGGCCGTGAGCTGTTGAGGTTGCCATAAATTATGTTAAATGTTTTGATTATGTACTCTTTTTTATATACTCTTGTATATACTCTTGTTTTATATAATACTCTTGGATCAGAGACATGTGCGATTGTGTGCAGCAGATTGCGATCCGGATCATGAAAGCCGTCATGTGTTACCATCTGTACCTACAGTGAGGCAAATGTCGCCGATACCAGCCACTGGTCGGACGTCAGTTAAGCACCGGCTCCGGGGCCGACTCTTTAACCTGAACTTGCCCGTCTCTGACAGATTTTGTCAACCTTAACAATTTCTGCAACAGATGCAGTTATTTTTGTCATGCCCCAAATGCTCTTTGATATGACCTTCCAGATTGGCCTTGTCGACCTTAGCCCGATAATGTTTTGCACCTGCAAGGCAATTCATTTAAGCGTAACTGGAATGGAACCAGCATATTTGCTGGAGGGGGAGGGGTGTTTGAACACCCCCCCCCTTCTAACTCGGCTCCAGGGCCACGTAGCGATACGCGGAAGGCGGCGTTCGAAAGAGCGCCAAAAAATAATGACGAAATCACTTGGGTCCCTTTTTTGGTCAGGTCAAAGGTCAGGTCGCCAGAGGTCATTGAAGGCAAATTTCCGCCGATTTTCAGTTCGAATGTCGACAATTTCCAAGAAGCCAACGCATAACTCGGGAACCAATAGAGCTACAGCGACGCAGAAAAGCGCATTCGATAGCCCTGTTAACGCCCTTTCTGAATAATTCTCTCAGAGTTGCCCTAACGTCAAGGGTTTTGCCTGCAGGGGGCAAACCCTGCTAAATAGCCGATTGGTTCGGAAACAGTTTTCTGCAATATCTTTTGACCCAAGCCTTGCACGAGCTTACTTTTACCGGAATCGTGTTCCTCTCGTCAAGACGCATCGAATGAACCATAAGTTGACCTTGAAAGGTCTACTTGAAAATTTGACCTCAGGTTAAGGCCATGACCTGACCGGAAAGGGTCATGTTGCATATCAGTCGATCTATATCGTCGAGCTGAACACATCTAAGGCGTTCTTGTCGCTCTAGCATGTCTCATCAAAAGTTATTTGCAAAAAAAAACTGTTGGATACCATTCGTGACCTGAGATGACCTCAGGGACATAAACAGGGGTCACGGACACCATTTTCATGTTAACCCTCGCACGACCAGGCCATTTCTCATAACACGAACGACCAGGGGGGGTTGTTACGACCCCCCCCCCTGGCGTTTCGAAACGGAAGGTCGTAGAGCTTAGCGGAAAAAACCAACGGATTGCTCTCAACGAGATCTCGCGATTGGTGGTATATTTTTTGGTCCTAGGTCAGCATTTGACCTACTTATGACCGGTCAAAGGTCAAATTTTCCGAAAAAAATCAAACTTTTTTAACTTTCCGCGGCGATTGCGGCAAAACGGTGGGAGATATCGACTTGAAACCTTCACTATCGTGTTCCTTGATCAATTCTCTATCGTTTGGTATGTATTTCGTTTCCCTAGCTCTAAAAATGGCGCGTTGGGAGCACCGGAAGTCGGCAAGGTCACAGTCGGCGGCAGAAATTCGAAAAATCAAAATTTAAATTTTTGAAATCTGATTGTATTTTTGGATTTGGGAGGTCCATTTGCTCCCTATAGAAGCTAATATTGCTGCATATTTCCATTGAGGTGACAAGAATTAGCAAAATAGTGGTTCGGGCGCTTTTCAAAAATAGTACCGGACGCTGTTCCTCTTGTGACGTCATAGCTCCGTGACCTGACCTGACCCGGTCAATTTACTTGCACCACACGATAGCCAATGCTTGCCCCAACATGCATGGGAAGTTTCATCATGATTCATCAAACAATGTGGGTATCACTGGCAGAAAACCTAGGGATTCGGCGCACACGTTTGGTAACTGTCGGCCGGAGGCTGTACCTCTTATGACGTCATAACTCCGTGACCTGACATGACCCGATCAATTTTTTTCGGCAAAAGATGCGCAAAGGTTGCCCCAGAGGGTATTGAAAATTTCAGCCCGCTACGACAAGCCGTTTAGCGCATGCACTTCGAAAAAACCTCAGGGGGGGGGGTTGATACAACCCCCCCTAGGCGTTCTAGGGTTAAGTGTGTCTGATTCACTTGTAATTCTGTATTTGGGAGTGTTTATAATGTCTTTGGTCCAAAAGAGGCGCATTTCAGTTTTGTTTCCCATTGTCTTATAATGTGGGGACTGGGGAGGTCGCAAAATTGACTTGACCTTAGGTCATCGATATCAAAATTCTGAGATATACATTTTGTACAAGCTATTGCTCTTAGCAATCGCTGAAAGTTTCAAAGCGATCGGTCACTCGGTGTAGCTATGGTAGACATTGAAACTTTTTATGAGGCGTGGCCTGGTGACCTGACCTTTTTAAGATGTTCGCGAGAAACCACAGGCTGGGTGCTCACCCCCCCCCCCAGCAGGGCGCGGGTTAAAACGATTTTTGAGCCTGGCTCGGCTCGGGGTGGCTTAAAGATCTATTGAATGAGTTTGTCTATGACTCTATTCGGTGCTGAGCTGGAGTTAGATCAACCGACGTGCCGATGTAAACCCTTCACTTGTTATAATTTGACATAGTGGCGTAGATCTAGCTCCTAGCCCGACTCCAAATTAAGATAAATCGTATTGTAATGTCTGGTGTTTTATTTTCAGCATAGGCGTAGGAACGTTTTCGAAAGTGGGGGGGGGGGGGGGCAGGGTCCCAGAGGTCCAAAACCTAACCTACCCCCAAAATCCGATTTCTCCTCGGATTTCGGCCACTTTGTTTTCGCAACCATGCTCAGAGGTAAAAAAAAAATCGAGACAAAAAAAAATTGGTTGAAATTTTAGGGAGTCTCCCGTCCATAAACTCAAACTGATGGACGCGTTCCCCTGTCCTCCGCAGCCGTTGGCACCCATGCACATTCCAGAGGCATCCAGCAACTTTTTCATTGCGAGCAAGCGTGAAACGTGCAAAGCGAGTCTTTTCAATATACCTATAAAAATCAGCATGAACGGCCCAGCTAGGCTCAGCCAGGCCTATAACGTTTTTAAGAGGTTTTATATCAGCGACCACTGCAACTGGGCTGATTGACTATCACTTATCAGAGGCCGGTGTGGGACTTTTAGACGAGGCCAGTTTAACCCTCCACGGCCCGGTCCTATAGGTTTTCTACATACGCGCTGGCCGAGGGGGCGGGGGGCGGGTACGACCCCCCTCGCCGTTTCGCCCCAGGTGGAGCTAGCGCGTCGCGGTAAAACGAGCGTGTGCGCCGTTACGAGACGCAGAGATCGATACCCGATTTTATGGTCCTAGGTCAACCGGTGACCTCTGACACCGTTCCGTGCTTCTATCCTCAGGATACTGAAATCCTTCTCCTCCACACCGCAACCCCCTCCGGGCTGGACAGGCAACTTTATCTCATACGCACCCCGTAGCCGGGTGCAGTGAGTGCCTTGGGGCTGGGTGGCCTGTCCTCTGGACGGGCTCAGCCCCGGCGACTCACTAGGGTGCCTGCCCAGACCAATGTCTCCCCCTATATCCTATCATCCTTCCGGCTCTGAAATGGTCTCATTGGACCGAAAGGGCCTAACCCAACAAAACAAACAAAAACCGGTGACCTCTGAGGTCAGGTCAAGTGCCTCAAGGCACGGTTCCGTTTGTGGTGAATAACTTCGCAAAAAATGGCCGCAGAGCCGCGATTTTGCCAGCATCGTGTTCGCCTCTCTCAGGCGCGTCGAATGATATACTTTTTGTTTGGGTGAGGTAAACTTAGGGTGTTGACCTCGGGTCACGCTCAGGTCGGCGTCCCCAGGTCACGAAATTGGTCGAAGGAGGTCATGTCGCATATCATTCGATTCGGCAGGTCTTCTTGAGTCCATAGGTGGCTTTCCCGACTCGCTAGCTCAATTTGATCGGTACCTAGTTATTGACGAAAAACTAATAAGACCCTTATAATTTCATAAATGACGTCGCGCAAGGTCAACATTGCAAAAGTGACGCATCGAACCTTGCAAGGAGCGCATGAAATCACGATTCGGTGTGCTTGAGATAGTTGGAGATCGATCTTTCCCGGCGCCAGAAAAAGTTTTCAGTTTATCCCCATTGACTTATACCTAATGGTGAGGTCACGAAAATGACCTGACCTCACATGAACTTTAGGAAAAATCCGAGATATACATTAAACAAATTGAGAGACTCCTATTGGATACTAGGTCCTCCAAGGTTCATTTCCCTGTGAAATCTCCTCTGGCAGTGAGGGCGTTGCGAAGTTGCGACATCTGAAGACCGTGCAGAGGTTCACTTATGACCACATGGGTCAGTGACCTGATCTGACCCGAAAATGCGGTTGGTGTCAAAAGATCCCGTTTGATTCAAAGGTCAGGTATGCCAAGCTTCAGCTCTCTATCGCCGGCGTGTTCGGAGCTATCGCGAAAAAAAACTATGGAGGGGCGGCACCCCCTTCCCCCCCCCGGCCGGCGAGGGTTAAGGCCCTCAGAGACCAGTTCAGGGCCTGCAAAGGGCAGGATGAGACCTTAAGATGCCGACTTGGGCCATCAGAGGCTAATGTGGGTCCTTACAGGCCAGTATGGGCCCTCAGAGGTCAGTGTGGGACCCTAAAATGCCGGCATGGGCCGGTGTTGGACCCCAGAGGCCAGCAGAAGACCCTCAAAAACCAAAATGGGCCTCAGAGGCCAGCATCGG